CAGACGTGTGCTCTTCCGATCTCCCCAAAACCCCAAAACCCCAAAACCCCATTGGAGAATTTAAGCATATTATTTGTTGTTCAAGTATAATTAATTTATTTTAAAGAAATTTATCAAATGAATCTCGTTGACAACGAATTTTTAAATAGACTAGAATTTTAGTAATACTACGCAGATGGTGGTTAAAGCAAAATATTTTTGGTTTAAGATAAACTTACAAATACTAAATATGTAGTGAAGTAAGCTATGGTCCATCAAAATGAAAAATTCTAAGAAAACTTAATACATGAAGCAGCAATATATGCGAAGTGTGGTCAGATAAAAGGAGTCCTTAAGTTTGTAAATTTTGTTCAATTCTAAACTATTGACCAATTAAAAATTCAAACAAGCCTCATTATTGAACACGCTCAATATGGATCTCTACAATCGATTCAACAATTCACCATACCTTTTCTTGAAGGGTCTGCATTTGTGATAATAAATTAGGTTTCTTAAACTCTACTGTAACTTCATCAGAGGCAAATTGCTCATTTAGATATAAAAGAAGGAAATATAATGATTGGATTCGACAAGCTGAACTAGCAAAATAGACTTTGCGGAGGTCTCCCAATAATCTTTAAAGTTGGAGATTTCGGTATATCAAGAGATATGAGTGTTGAGGATCTAAAAAAAATGAAGTTCAATCAGGGTACTCCGAAATTGATGGCACCAGAACAGTTTATAGCAAAAGAAGGTCAAATAAAAAATCCATATAAATTAGATGTCTTCTAGCTCGGTATCGTTCTTTTTCACCTCGTATTTAAAGAGTATCCGTTCATACCGAATGCCTACGAGGACAAGAATAGTCGGGATCCTAATTTTGTTCAAAAATTTTTGACAGATAAGAGAAATAAGCACTCCAAAAAGATATCCCCAGAATTGGTTGACCTTCTTTCTTAAATGCTTCAATTTTAACCAGACAAAAGAATAAATATGACAGATGTCATTGGAAGTTCTTGGTTTAAAATGCAAGAAAATATCCTCTAATTTGACAATGCAGCATACATGGCAGTCCGTAACCAACTGTTTTAGAAAATGACATATATAACAAATATTACGAAAGTGAAGATTCCTCTAGTTTCTAATCAGAAGTAGAGTTAAGCTAGTATTTCGTAGATATCAGAAAATAATATCAACATTCGAAATATGGGGCCTTAGATATCTACTAAATAGGATTCTTAGGTTAAAAATTCGAATTAAAATAGCAGATAAAGTGACCAGATATCGAATTCGATTAATAACACGCCATAAATATAATCAAAATTCGAAAATAATGATCAATTTTCGATGGATTTTATATCAAATTATGATTATACAGATAAAAACACAGAGTTTATAGAACTTAGCAGGAAGTTTCAAAATTAAGATTAACAAAGCTATAACTTCGATGAATTCCCAAATATGGACAATTTATCAGACTCAACAGACGGCCAAGCAGATGACTCTCCAATGGAAGTCTAATGAAGGATAGAATGAGAGCAAATAAATCGAATAAATGTAAATATCAATCAAGCATCTACTCAATATGTAAACTTAATTGAGAAAATACGTGTATTTATATATCAGAACGTATTTTTTTTCATTAACTAATAATATTTAAGAATAAAATTTCATAAAAAACATTTAAACTAATAGCTTTCTCTTTTTCTGACTGTATTTAAAGAAATTCTAGAAATTCATTTTTTTGTTCAGACTTCATTTTTAGGGGTTTTGGGGTTTTGGGGTTTTGGGGAGATCGGAAGAGCACACGT